TTTATTCTATACGTTTGGTGCTTTAATTATTATGTGACGAGGTAACTTTCTTTTGTGGTCCACTCTACTTGGCGTTCTGTAGGCTTCTTGTACTTTCATTGGCATGTCTTTCTTTAGGTTGGGAAAGTTTTCTTCTATGATTTTGTTGAATATGTTTTCTGCACCTTTGAGTTGGGTTTCTTCACCTTCTTTTATACCTATTATCCTTAGGTTTGGTCTTTTCAAGGTGTCCCTTATTTCCTGGATATTTTGTGTTATGGATTTGTTAGACTTCAGATTTTCTTTGCTATATGAGTTTAATTTCTCTGGTTTGTCTTCAGCATCTGAGATTCTGTCTTCCATCTCTTGTATTCTGTTGGTTATGCTTGCATCTGTGTTTCCTGATTGTTTGCTCAGCTATTCTACTTCCAGCATTCCCTCAGTTTGTGGGTTTTTTTTTTGTTGTTGTTGTTTGTTTTTTGAGTCAATGCCTTTTTGGCATAGGTTTTATTGAAATTATCAACATGGTGAGAAAGTAATACAATGAGTTGCTAAGGAGAAAACCTGCTAACCTTGTTCCTGTATCTTTTTTTTTTCTTTTTTTCTTTCTTTATTAGTTCAAGTTAGGGAACAAGCTTGTTTCACATGTAAATCCCTTCTCCCTCTCCCTCCCCTCCCCCATAACTGTTCCTGTGGGTTTCTCCAACCTGGTACAGACCCCTTCGCTCTTCATTCCTCCCTTTCTTCAACTAAATTCCAGATTGCAGCTCAGTGTATATCTGTGGATGTCTGTCTCTGCTTCCATCAGCCACTGGATGAGGGCTCTCGCTGTGGATCAGTCGGCGGAAAGGAGTTTGTGTTTTCATTATTGTCTCTAATTCAGTTTTCAGGTCCTGAACTGTTTCCTTCAGCTGTTTAATTGTATTTTCTTGGCCTTTTTGGTTTTCCTTGATTTCTTGCATCTTTTGTTCTTCATTTTTTTCATTTCTCTGAAGGATTTTCTGATTTCTTCTCTTAGGTTATCTATCATCTGCATGAAGTTTTTTTAAGGTTGCTCTCTTCTGCTTCTTCTGTGTTGGGATGTTCATGTCTTGCTGGTGTAGAGTCCGTAGACTCTGGTGGTGTCATATTGGTTTTCCTGTTGTTGGATGTTTTCTTATATTGTCGTCTTCCCATCTCTTCTTATAGTGGGTACAGTTGGTGTCACTTCCGTTCCTGGTGTGTGTGGGACTGGTGTTATCTTCAGGTGTGTGCAATTGACTTAGATAATCTGATGGGTCTCAAGTTGGGTACAGGGAGGTCTGAGGTACTCGCTCTCCAGGTGGGTGAGAGCTGCACTGGCACAGAAATGTCAGAAGACTCTGGGTTGCTTGGTCCTCAGGGGTCGAGTCGGCCTGTTGAAGACCCTGGGGCAGGAGTTCCCATAGTGGGCAGGCGGAAGTTGGGCCCAAGGCAGGGCTGAAGCAGTTCACCTCTGCACACTCTGCATCCTGTGGGGGCTGGAATAGCCCAGCAATCTCAACACAGTCAGGATCCCAGGGTCCTCAGAGACTGATTCAGTCTGCCTGCAGATCCTGGGGCGGGATTTGCCAGGATGGGCAGGCAGAAGATGGGCCCAAGATAGGGGCTGAAGCAGCTCACCTCTGCACTCTCCAAACTTTATTTCTTATTAATAAAACAAGTACAAGAATACAAATGTCTAAGGACTTTCACACTAATTGACATGAAATGATGTACTGAAAAATCTCTATCTGAAAAGGCTTTAATGTATGATTGCTCATATTTAATGTTCACTATTTTCTAGGAAATTTCATTGTTTGCATTTATTCGCAGATGATTTACTTTTCATATTAGTGTGTGTGTGTGTGTGTGTGTGTGTGTGTGTGTGTGTGTGTGAATATGTGAACATGTGAGTGTTGGTACCTAAGGAGACCAGAGGAAGTGTTGAATCTCTTGAAGTTACAGGCATTTGTGAAACACCAAATAATCCTGGGATCTGAACTTGGCTCTTCATGATAGACCAACAACTTCTCTTAACTAAAGAGTTATCTTTACAGCCCTATTTACTCACTTATACTCTACAGACTTATGATGTGAGATACATGTGATCACATACATATATACTAAAAGTATTTTAGTTTATGCCAGTGAACAAGTATATTTTATTTATTTTTTAATATTAGGTGCTGGTAATGAAACTTAGGTTTTGTACATCCTTAGGATGGATTCTACAGCCACAGAGAGATACCTGTGTGTGAGTGTGTGTGTGTGTGTGTGTGTGTGTGTGTGTGCGTGGGGTGTGTGTGTGTGTGGTGTGTTTCATTTTCCCCTCTTTTTAGCCTTCTGATTGCTATAATCACTGACATGCATTGTCATGCTGAACTTCTTCTATTTTAATGCTTTTAGAGAAAGTATGAGGCTATAATAAAATCTCAGTAATAATTTTATTACTTTAATATTCCTAACAGCTCTCAAGATAAAGAGACTCCTTGGGGACATGGAACATCATTCACTTATATATCATCTCATCTCACAGTACCTGTTTACTTGCTAGCTCCTTTCATCATAGGGGCAATGGGATTTCAGAAAGTATTGGGTTTCAAACATTTTCATGCTAGTTAGCTGAAGAACACAGACTAGAATGCAGGTGACCCGAATCACTCTCTAGAGAATGTTGAGAGGTTTTGCTTTGCATGGCAGTCTGTTTGGTCCTGGGAGTCATAAGGGTGCATAACAATGTCTATAGAACAATCCCAAACTCACTGAACCATTGTTTTCATGTCCTAGAAACCTGCTCTGTGGAGAAGTACTTGGCAGAGGGTCCACCCTTGGCAGTTCTTCAGTAATTGTTCATCCTGAGACTATCTTTTAAAGACAGTTCTTTAATGTAAATAATAAAGATAATGACTTCCTGCAATTTAGTGCTCCACATGTGCCTGCTGTATGAGCAGGTAGAATTGGGCCTTTGCCTGGTAATGGGTCTTGGAATTTCTCAAGTGGAAGATTAAAGTTCATGGGAGGTATGTGTGTTGGGACTAGGAGAAATGGCAGGAAGACTACATATAGTAAAGTATCTGGATAAAGCTCACCACTGTCAAAATTATGAAATAGATACATTTTCTGAGCATCTCTGAAACACTTGCACTTCTCTTTAATTTCCCTGCTTTGACTTCTCTTTTATTTCCCCCTTGGGAAATTTTCTTACATCAATGATTTCCAGCTCATCTTTACATATGCCAGGTGGACCTGGTTCTTGTGAGTTGGCTCATCTTGGACTTGCATCCTAGCTGAGGCTTTGGGACACTGGAATGTCTTTCCACCTCTTTAAGACACTGTTTTGTGTCCTCAGCAGCCAAGGGGAAGAGTTAGTACTGATCTCATACCACTGTGAGGCTTACAGGAACAACCACATGGAAATGTTTAATATCATGCCTGTCATAGCATAGGCCTACTACATTTTGTTTTATTAGTAGTACTGCTTATTTTAATTTATTAAGATTTTAAACTATGTTTATATGTGTGTATCTCTGTTGGTATGTACACATGAGCACAGGTGCCCATAGAGATCAGGAAGTGTTTTCAGATACTGTGGACCTGGAGTCTATTGGGAGCAGCTGGACTGAGTCCTGGGAACCCAAATCGAATCCTCTTCCAAAGCAGTATAAGCTATTAACCACTGAGCTACCGGAGGCCTCATATATAAAATTTTGACCTCTAATTGTGTACTGTAAAACACTGTCTGTAAATGGGTTCATGTGGAAGCAGGTGAAGAAGTTTTAAATGAAATAAAGCCCTTTGAATTGGTTCTTTGAGTGGGCCCCATTCTGCCAAGACATACTGCTAACTTGCATAGGGAACCATGATGCCCACACTGAAAATAATCTCCAAGTAGGTATGTATTCACAATATATAAAATTATAGCATGTGAAGAGACTGTATTTCATTTCAGGACCACTTGAAATTATAGGTGTCGTTCCAGCTGTTAGCTGTTACAGGGTGTGGGAAAGCATGGTTGCTATCTTAACTATGTGCCATAAATTTCTACTCTCATCCCAAACAAGAAGCACTGAACCTGAATGTGAACAGAGCATTCATGGGTTCACAGAGCACTGGTGGCTTTCTCCCTTACAGCAGAGGCTGTTCTGTGGATATGATATGATGAACAAAGTTCCCTCTCAGGAGCCAAATGACTCCTGGCTTGATGTATTTTTCCTTTTCCCAGCACCTAGAATAATGCATGACACCATAGCTTTTAATTAATATTTGTTGAACTGGGTCAAAATACTTAACCTGTTATTTTGATTGTTTGGTGGGATAATTTTTGCATTTGTGAAATGAATACAAAACTGGCTGTTCCCACAAGAGGTGTGATTATAGCTTTCATTTATAAATATGAACATTCCACAGTGTTCAGTGTGTCTGGGGAGGTACCCTTTAAGTCTTGGTGGTGATAATGGCAGTGCATATGGCAGCAAGCCAAGTGCAATTGAGAAGGCAGAGACAGGGAAGCAAGCCTGTAATCAGAGGAATCTGACAAGAGTCATTGGAAGCCAAAGTTTGATGTCAGATTCTGATCCTGAGAGTAATTATACCTCCTTACAAGAGTCTTGAAGCAGTCAGGGGTTGAGAAGGTCTTATTTTTGTCTGATTCTCATCTGGCCTAGGTATATTCATTTGCAATGTCTGGGCCCATCAACAGACCATCAGCTCCCTTAATCAAAGATGTTACCTCACCATCCAGGATAAAGAAAAACATAGTATTTAGGTAGCAAATATTATATATACAGCACTGTTATTGCCTTATAGTTGTGATGTGTTAAAAATACCCATATCTAAGCCAACTTGTATATCTGTGTCTCTTGAATGAAGAGTGATTGATATAATTGGATTCAATTCATTACATAATGGCTAGGATCCTTAGATATGGAGTAAGACAGGAGAAATTTCAGTTGTCATAGTTCCTGGTTTTAGTAAGTTACCTAAACATTGCAATGTCTATAGGATTGAAATTAGGATGAAAGACTTAATACAAAGAACTTACCAGAGCAACCGGCTTTGGTGGTAGCTATGAGCATTATTGATAATGGTAACAGTATGACCACAGTAACAGTAACAGTAGAGACACAGACCAGATGTGGAACCCATCCTCACTGAAAAAAATAGTAAGTCAATCAGTTGGGGAGGATAGAAAACTAGAATTCAAGAAGCCTGAGTCTTAGGTAGGAAAAGTAATTCCTGTATTTCTTAGGTATTTTGACATGGAAGTGTCTAATTGGCCTTTTGAGTGAGAAAAGAAATCTGGTTTTGGAAGCCATAAGGGATCTAGTTAAAGAGGTCACTACTTATTGGAGTATTATTATTGGAAAATATTCCTGATGACTTACAGATTAGATAACTGAACAATAAACTACCCCTTTTAGTTTTTACAGTCTTTTTAGTCTGGTTTAATTTCTACCTCATCTCAGAGTAAGCATAGACCATATAGGGATACAGGCTTTTCCTTCTGGTTGAACTTGTCTTTATGAAGGCTCTACCTCATTTAAATGTCTAGCTCAGAAGCTTCTCCTTTCCAATATTGTCAGCAAGGCTATGCAGAGGTCATTAGAAAGATCAGACAGAAGGTAAACTGGGCTCCCACAAAGAGATTCTTCCTTCATCGATAACCTTGACATGTCTAATTTTGTCAAGAATGTTTGCAAAGTATTCCAACTGGCACCTGATCATGCACAATGGTGGATGGAACAATGGTGCATGGCACATATTTTTCCATTAGATCATAAAGGCATTTGACTTCATTATAGCTTTTAAAAATCATCTACAGGATTTGTCTCAATCATTTATGAGTGACTATTCAGTAAATATGTTTTCTGTGTATATAAAATGTCCTACTTACTTGAACATTGGCAATACCTTCTTGAAATCTTATCATAGTGTTATACCATGTCCTTACTTCATCATATATTTTGGAGTTGAAGATATTTCTATGTGCTATCGCAACCAGAATGATTTTTTTAAAAACAAAACTAGTGGGTGGCTTAGAGCATAATTAAATGCTGAGGTTCTCAGTAAAGCCACAGTAAACTTAAAATGTGACTCCAAATTTATGGAAGGGATTGTAGGAGCATTTTCTTCCTTATTAGATCATAAAAATGCTTTTAAATTTTATTTTTTTTAATTTCCTAAACTTGATTATGTGATTTTGGACCTTTGTTACTTGAGAAGAACAAGTTTCTATGGCATGAATATGAATATCTTCCATGTATACAGAACAAACAGCTATGACTTGGAGCTACAGACTCACAGGCTGCAGTTCCCTTGCAGGTGCAGCATCTTGTGGAGGTAGTGAGAGATAGGGGCAGATTGACAGACACGTAAATGATTGTTTGCATACATTTCAAATCCAAAGAATATTGCAAGTAAAATAAAGATTTAATTTTAGTTGTTAGTCTCTGTGTTAGCAATACTTGAAAAAAAGTGCTTCATTAATTGACTTCTAATTACAGCGGATTCTGCAGCAATTTTCATGCTAGCTGCATTATTTTAGTCAGTCTTCTTGACCATCTCATGTTTATTAAAATGAGGCATGCAAGGTCCCTAATTAAGTAGGTAGAGAACTGAGGGCTTAAAACCAACCTGGCTTGACTCCAGTAGCTTCAGTCTTACCCTGTTTGCCCTATTGTTTAGGGAAAGTGAGGCTTAAGTAATGGTATATCACCCATTCCACAGCCCCGAAAGCTCTGGGTTAACTGCTCAGTGAATACTTGCCAAAGGAGTGAAACTGGGCTCTCTTCTGAGTACACTTACACCAACACGTTTTCACAGACTGCCTGCTCACCTAAGCATCTAACTGAATGTAATCCTTTCAATGTGAGAGAAAGCCTGTTCCCTGAGAGCTTTGATCTTCCTTTCATTTACCCAGGAACTTTGGCTTACCTAAGAACAGATGAGCCACTCTGGTGGCTTCCACAGGCTGTTTGTATACTGCACCATTCAGAAAACTGTAAACATGGTACAGTTACTTCTTTTTCCTTATGCTTCCATTTCTTAGTTTATAAAGTTTGCATAGTAGTAGTAACTTTCTCATATGTCCTCCTGAGAAATGAAAGCCAACCCAATAACACATATTAAATCTCATCCAAGAGTGTAGAATTTAGATAAATTTATTACATTAAAATTAAAATCAGGTATTTAGGAGAAAGATAAAGTGGCTAAATACTGCTTAAGGCACAATGTCACTTAATAAAACCAATATAAAACAAAAACTAATGTAAAACCAACTAACCAATCTAAACATCTAAATCAAACTGAAAACAAACTGGGATACAATAGGTATTCCAAAGTGGGGTAATTCTGGTGAACAGTCCCACAATGCCACAGAATAATGAAAATGTTCTGTTGCTAGGGGTGACAAGACAAGGATGGAAGAATAAAAGTAAAACCCTATGCCATTCTTGTCTGTCTCTTTGGAGGCCTGAGTTTCTACATGGGTTAGCAGTGGGCTTATGCGAGGCAGAGACATTAATTACTATGGAGCCATTGTGTTTGGAAATGTTCCATGGGCAGTATGAAGAATGCAGTACATGGAGAGGACAATATAGCTTAGTCAATTTTGTTGACTATTTGTTTTCTCTTCCAATACTTATTTTTTCTAGGTGACTATGGGCCAATCCTTAGCTTCTCCAATTTTCAGTTTCCTTATCTCTAAAACTAAAATAGTGTTACATATTTCATCAAAGTTCAGGAAAGAGTGAAGGATTGTATTCCACACTGCTCTCACAGAGCAAAGACATGGCTGGCCAGAAACATTTTCTTAAGAAAACTAGCCCCAAAGCCTTATTCCTATTAGGGAGAGGAAACAATGAAATACCACAGTCAAAGGCCAAGTCTGAGCCCAAAGTGGATACTGCAAAATCCAAGTTTGAAGCCAATCAAAACATAAATAAAGGTATGAGAGTTTAAATTTCAAAGGTGTTCTGATATTTGAGAGCTAGTTACTTGTGTACTTCAATACGGGCTACACGATTTATGTTAAAGCAAAATAAGCAACTACTCTATTAAAAACGCAGAAATTTCAATCTAAGTTATAACTGAAAAAAGGATTTAAAGAAATCACTTATAGGTGTGTGCCCTTATACATGTATTGACAATGAGGTGCAGATTTTTACCAAGCTGGGAATTAAAATAATATTGTTAATTGTCTGTGCTGTATGAGTGTTATAGAAGGAAATGCAAATACAGACCACAGTTACCGTCCCAGCCAAGGCTCTTGCATCCAGTGGATTTATACTTAAACCATTCTCTGAAAATCAACAAAAATGAAATGTTTGTTGAAGGCATTACTATTTATGAAAATCACTTTGACAATACAGTTCAAGTTTGGAAATGTCAAATTCTACATTGAAGCTATTTAATTTCTAAAATCAGTTGCCACTGAAAAGTTTTAAGTAAAAGAAAATGGCCTGTAAGCATCTGTATGTTTATTTCCCCCAAGTTCTGAATGTTTATCACTGACCTTTGTATACACAGCTTGTAGTCCCTTATACTGATATGTATAGGACAGCACAAGGGTTACTGGCTGATGGAACTTCATGGTATATAAGTGAGGATTAAACTGCTTTCTTAGGGCTTGATCATTTTAGTGTCACTGAGACAAAAATCACTGGAATTCATACCAAACATGAAAATCAGCATCTTTATTGAAAAGTTACCTCCTAGACATTGATTGATTACTTATGGTGCAATACCATTCAAAGATGTCCCATAAGCAATAACTCTTCAGAGAAAGGAGACAACCAGTAAGAGCTACTTACACAGACTAGAGTATGCTAAGTTAAGATGTCATGGCTCAAATTCAGTTAAAGTTTATTTTCTACCCCCATAAAACAGAAAAAGTAAGGTGTCAAGTCATCGAGGGGATTCTGCTTTTCCAAATAATTTGGTGCTGGAGGTAAATGCAAGAATACCCTCTTTAGCATAGTATGTTCTAGGTGTCACCATTCTTGCCTGTGGAATGCAATGTGAGGAACATGAAGGCACCTCCCAGAGAAGTTTCCCATTGGCCAGGGACAAAGGGTTTTTCCTCTTATTCTACTAGATTTAAGTTATTTGGCCTTATTTAATTGTAGCAAAGATTGGGAAACATAAGGATACTGGGGGATAGAGTGTAGTTCACAGTCAACCTATGCTATTGCCAAGACGACAGGCTGCTCTCTACAAACTGATAGCAAGACCCCATTGCTGAGGACAACACCTATATTGAACATGCAGATGTTGAGCTGGTGCCTACAAATAGACTTTATTTCTTTGTTCCAGTGTCTTTGATACAGAAAGGTTCTTTGTACTCTTATCAAAAGAGTAACATAAGCACCAAGCTAGCCACAAACCCTTTACCTACAGTGGTGTAGTGCCTGCAAGATATGTTAGGGTAATGGTGGCACAAAGCATGCAGGAGTAACCAGCCAATAACTGGTTTGACTTAAGTCTGACTCCATGAGTTATAACCCATATCTGATACTGCTTGGGGTGGTCAAGACCCTGAGACTAGATAGCTCAGGGACATAGGGGAAAAGCAAATAATATTGGTATAAAGAAAAGACAAAAATGATAAAATGACTCCTAATGACATTCTGTTATACTCATAGATCAATGCCTTGCTCAGCTATCATCAGAGAAACTTCCTCCTGCAGCAGATGGGAAAAATATAGAGACCCACAGCCAGACATTATGCAGAGAGTGAGAGACCTTGGAACAGCCCTAAATGGATGTCTCCATCAAATCTTTCCCCTTTGGGCTTAGGCAATCCCATGGAAGAGTTTAAAAGTCAGAGTAGAAGGAAGACACAGAGAAAACAAGGCCATCTAAATCAACATGGTCAAAGCTCATATGAAGTCACAGAGACTGAGGCAGCATGCACAGGACTTGCACAGGTATGCAGGAGTTCCTCTACATTTGTATTATGACTTCCAGTTTAGTGTTGTATGGAAATCCTGAGTGTGTTGTGTAAATGAGTGGGTCTCTCTCTCTCTCTCTCTCTCTCTCTCTCTCTCTCTCTCTCTCTCTCTCTGTATGTATGTTTTCTTTTGGGCTCTTTTACTTCTGTTGATTTGTCTTGTCCAACTCCAAAGTGATAGTTTTGCTTTATCTCATTGTATTTTATTTTTAAAATGAATGGATGAATGACTAGAAACCTAGCCACTAGAATGAAGGGTTCTCCAGCAGGTAGAGCTGGGGAAGGGCCAGTCCAAGCCCGTCTCTTCCCAGGGCTGAGTGGGATAGTGAGTGCTGATGACTCAGACCCTTCCTCCTACTAGTTTACCGAGGAGAAAATACACACTGAGTTTGGAGACTTGTCCAAGCAGGATCTCAATTTATTCCAACAGGCAGGAACTTATATAGGGCTGAGGTAGGGGAATGGGAATCTTAGGATGGGATAAGGTGGTGTGAGGAGTAAGGACCAATAATATTCTACCAAGCTGGAAGGTAGCTAGGCAGGGGAAGGCTTACATCAGGCCTTGAGGAGTAACTCCCACATGGAGGTTACAGGCTGGAGAGAGTTCCCCAAACTCTAGCCAGGCTTAGGAGGTTACACCGGGCCTCACATCCACATCATTTTAGGTGCAACAGTTAACAACTAACAACTAAACTTATACCTTTTGGGAGAGGGGGAAAATCCGTTTTCTCTGATAGAGTAACACTGGGTATATCAACCACTCCAGAACAGGCCTCATGTTCAGATGTAGGTGACAAATATTGAACTGATGCTACAGGTTTTATTTTTTAATTTTTTGGTGTGTGTGTGTCTTTATATGGTTATAGATTTTTGTTTCATTTTTATTTCTTATTTTCTTGTTTTGATTTTTCCCCCATGGTTTTATTTTGTTTTCTTGATTTTTGGGTGTTATGTTGTATTGGGTTTTGTTTGCTTCTGAGAAAGAAAAAGTTGAGTAAGCAGGAATGGGGAGAGGATCTGGAAGAACTTGAATTAGGGAAGATTATGATCAAAATATTTATAATTTTAAAAGTTCTCAAGGAAGTAATTAAAAAATTTCCTCACAGAAAGCAGCTTGGGGCAGAAAAAGTTTATTTGGCTTGAAGTTCTACGTGTCAGACTATCATTATAGGTACAATTTTGAATTATAAGACAAGCAAAGCCTTCTCTTCTAAGTTATTTATTTTTGTTATTGTTGGTTGTTTAGTTTTTAGTCAGGATATTTTATCAGAGAAGCAAAAATAAAATGAGGGACAGAAATTGTTACTAAAGAAGTGGGGCTCTACGGTGATAAGCTGACTATGTGCCTTTCTGAGCCTCTGGAGTTATTTTCTGGAAGAACATGCAAGCATTTGATACACACTGGAGAGAAGAAGCCATTGAATTATGGGATTTTATCTTTACATTATAGTGGGAGTTTGGAAGACTGAAAGAACTGTGGGCCAGTGAGGCCTTTATCATTAGGTGTCAAGGGGAAGAAAGACTTTATGAGGAACTGGGTTAGGAACTATTCACATGATGTTTTGGCCAAGAATATGTCTTTGTTCTGCCCTTGTCCTAAGAAATTGGGTGAAGTGTATTTACAAGAAAGTGGACTTTGGTAGAGGACCTTTTAGCTTGACAGAGTCAGGCTGGTGCTGAAAAAAGCAAGTCTAATTGACAGAGAAATCAGGGCCACTGTAGAGAGGTGCTCTGTATTGTAATAGAGCAACAGGAAAGAGTATTCTCTGGGTCAGCATACAGTCACTGATATAACTGTGCTCCAAAGGGGTCAGGCTACATTTTGAGCGAGCAGCAGAAATAGGCAATGTCATATTGGACTGGCTTGGAGGGCAACAATATATGACTGAGCAGTCATAGAGATCACTTAAGCCAGGTACTGCATGGCAGTATCATTCAGAGTTCTTGAAAAGTGGCCCTGAAGTGTGATTTTGTGAAGCTGGGAAGGTAAAGTCTTAGTTGCAATGAGTACTCAAAACTTTTGGGAATTCCAGTACCATGTGGCAGCCCCCAGGGAAAGCTGCAAGTGTTGAGTGGAGGGTACATAAACCTATGAGAGAAGCTGTATGCTTCAGGTGGCAGAGTTGGAGGCCTGGGGCATCCAAATCCTTTAGTTCCCAGAAATACTTCAGTAGCCCTAGATACAGGACACAGAGCTACAGGAGTCAGGTTTTTCCATTTTGGATTTTGGTTTTCTGGTGTGGTCACTCCATACTATGCTCCAATTCTTTCATTTTTGAAATGAGAGTGTTTGCCTCTTGCAAAAATGACTTCTATTTTACAGGAGCTCACAGTTAAGAGATTTAAGATACTTAAAGTGTTGGGAGTTTTAGAGCCTTTGAGTACATTTAAAGTTGAATTGTGTTTTATATTATGAGGGTAAGCATGGGTCTTTAAGTAAAATGACAGGTTAGGGCTTAAAATGATGTGTATGTGAAGTTGAGAAGGCATGAAGCTGTGATGGCCAATTGACATCTTGATACAGCCTACAATCACCTGAAGGGATGTCTCAGTGAAGAACAGTTTAGAAGAGGTTGGCCTGTGGGCATGTCTAAGGTGGGAGGCCTCAGCCCACTGTGGGCTCCAGGGGAATGGTCCTGGATTGTATATGTATATAGAGAATGGACTGAGAACGATAGGCATGCATGAGTGTGTTTCTCCCTGCTCTTGGCTGTGGATGCAATGTGTCTGGTTGCTTCAAGTTCCATATGACTTCCCACAATGGTAAACTACAACCTGGAATTGTAAGCCAAATAAATTCTCTATTCCCCAAGTTGCTCCTTAACTGGGTAAAATGAGTTAAAAACATCCTGTTTCTGAGTGTATGGATATATGTGTGTGATGGAGGAAGTACTTCTGTGTATGTTTATCTTATTGATTGTTGAATAAAGTTCTGTTTGGCCAATAAGGCAGCAAGTTAGCTGGGACTAGGAGTCAAAGAGGATTCTGGGAAGTGTAGTAGAGAAGTGGTGATCCAGGCAGGAAGTGACATAGCAAGGAGACTCATATTTAAGCAAGGAGAAACAGGAAATGCCCCTTTTCCTCTCCACTCTTCCTCCAGCGGCACAATGTGATCCACTGGCAAGGAAGGACGCCAATGGAAGGTGTCTGATAAGATAAGTCTTATAAAATATATAGATTTATGATAATTAAGACTGAGATAACAGATGAGAAGTCCTAGCCATTGGCCAAGCAGCATTGTACCTAATACAAGTCTCTCTCTGATTAATTGGCTCCTTAATTCAGGTGGGCAGCTGGCGTAGGGTGAACATGCAGCGGTGGGGCTCAGCGGCTTTTAGCCGAAAGATTTATTGTAACATGTGCAGGTTGTGTGTGTGTGTGTGTGTGTGTGTGTGTGTGTGTGTGTGGGGGGTGGTATGTAGATCAGTGGACAACTGTAGTTGTCTTTCACCTTTAAATTTTTTCTATTCATAAGTTTTATTTTTGAAAATGTCATACACGTATATAATGAAATATTTTCACATCCACTCCCATCTCCTTTCTTCAACTCCACCCATATGTCCCTAACATGCCCCTCCTAATTTCATACCTATATTTTTTGATGAATCACTAAGTCCAATTAATGCTGTCCATATGTGCATGGGTGTGAGGACAGCCTATGGAGCATGGGAAACCTATCAGTGGCCACATCCTGAAAGACAAATGAATGATTTTCCCTTCCACAGCAACTATTAATTACCAATAGTTCCTTAGTAACGGGGGTGGCCTGGTTGTCATCTATTCCTTCTATGCTGGGATTTTGGTTAGCTTGAGCAGATAAGGACAAATGTTGTGAGTTCATGGGTGTGAGAGCCATTTCATGTCTGGAAGACAGCATTGTGTAACACTCCACTCTATCATCTCCTCTCACACTTTTTCCGCTTTCTCTTTTTTTAGGATTCCCCAAGCCTTGTCATTATCAATTTGCTTTTAGATAATGTCTGTCACTATGGATCACCTAATAAGCTAGGCTGGCTAGCTAGTAAGCTCCAGGAATCTGTCTCACTCTGCCTCTCTAGTGCTGGGATGTCACGTAAAGGCCTCTGTATCTGGCTTTTTTTAAAATATGGGTTTTGGGGTTCAAACTCAGGTCCTTATGCTTGCAATACTAGGACTGTACATACTTAGCTGTCTCTCCAACCCTAGGTAATGTTTTGAATTTAGTTGTTTATTTCATAACTGCCAGATCTACTAATTTTTCTTCAAGATCTTGTGTCTAGTAGCAACCTGGTAAGATGTCTACCATGTTATTATACAGTTGGAAAATGAAAGTGTCACAGAAGAAAACCCAACAAATTGCAAGAGGCAGATGGAAAACCAGATTCAGTTGGGCCCACAGTTCCATATTCCACTCCATTACCATTTCTTTGACACTTGGGAGTTATAGATAGAATTGCTGCCTAGTCAAGCCACACACTCTTCTCCGTGTCATCAGCTGGTCAGGGTGTCATAAACTGCTGCATCTTTTCATCTTCCTTTCGTACTCACATATACTTCTTAATTCTGAGAGGAGGAACTTAAAGGGACGCTTTCTTGAATCATAATTGAGATTAAATATCTTTATGGGTTTTCTTGGAAATAACTTCCAAGCAAATTATTAGAGTTACAATTTATATCATAGTCTCCAATGCTATTTTTTTTACTTTAGTTAAACTATAAAAATTTTCCAACTTATGTAATACTTTACCTTTCAAAAACAACCTGGTTATAAGAGTATCTATTTTGTAAGTGTGTTTAAAGATAGAGTTGGAAATAAAGATAATTTTAAAATTAATTATAAGGGTATCTCATTAAACCCCTTTAAAGAACTAAGAACAAAATAGCTTCCTTTTTCCAAAAGTGAAATATAAGCACACATTGATTATAATTATGTGTGACTGGTGGTTAAAAGGAGAGCTCACTAGAACCAAAATTAAGCTCACTGGAAACATCACTTCCTATTTCAAATAAAAGGAAGTTTGAACACATTGTCTTTGTTCTTTTTTGTAAGTGTTTCCTAACCTGAATTTTTTAAGGCATGGAATGTGTTTTCTGCTTTGAGCAACTGGGGAAGACTCTCTAGACTTCTGTGGCTGTATCAGCTGCTCTTCTCAAGTTTCCTCTTGCATTTCACAGCTCTGCACAATTTCCCATCACAGCTCATTTCCATTCTCTTCATCCCAGGCACTTATGCAATATACACTGTTAAATGGCTAGCTGTTTCTTCCTTTGAAATGCTTCCCTGCATTTTCTCATGACAAAATGATGCTTTCAAACTAATACCCAAATTACACTATACGAGTGAAATAGGATCAAAATAGTCAGTGCTCCTAGCATTCCATGACAACCTGTATTCTCCTTTCTTGAGTATTGTAGCGCTGCATCATTTGTTCATGAAAACCAGACATCTTCATATATAGTCTTTGCCTATTACTTCCTTAAGCAAGCCACTTCCTCTCGTAAATTTTAATTTCTTAATCTCATAGATCAAGATTTTCTCAGGTGTAGTCAGAATTTCCTTCATGTATTCTAACTCTAGATTTACATCAGTACCTATCCCACTTTCATAATCTGTTTCTAACTATGGAGGTCACCAAATATCTGTATGTAGCCAAAGTCAGTGGTCACATTTTTGTTTTGTATTTCTGATATATTTGACACAAGTGCTCTGTTTTGATATTGTTTCTTTCATAGGTTTCTGGGATATTTAATCTCAATTTCCTTCTGTCTTACCTGATTAATTTTCCACTGTGATCATGGCATTAAAACGAGATTCTCAGTTTATACTCTTTGGCTCTCTTCTTTCCCATTAGTATTCTGTTGTTTCCATCTAATCCCACAGCTTACCCGCCCTATAGGTAGAGCTTTCTCTCCCAGAGCTTAGGCATGAATTATTTACATCTTTTGGATATTTAGCAAGACACTAAAGCATTAAAGCACTGGTGTCCTGGTCCTGGTATATAGCAAAGAGTCAGACCACCACTGTCCATGCTGTTCTTGGGAAAAATAGTTGTAATATGAGAGTCAAAATTGACTCTTTCTCACACCACACTTTTTCTGTGTAAGTCCTGTTGGCAAAGCATACTGAATAGATTCTGATTCCAACCACTCAGTGTTTCTACTGCTTTAGCTCCAGACTATGCCTCCACCATTTATCACTTAGATACAGAAACATACCCCTACTCTGCCTCCACTATTGCCCATCGCAGTCCAGTCTCACAATACTGTTGGAAAGACTTCTACAAACTTGTAATGATAACTAACACTTGTTATTGGATACCTGGTATTATCTACCAGACCCTTTCCTGAGCTTGCTTGTAGTTTTCCATTTACACCCATTGAGATGGCTATTATATTTGCTTCTATTCCATAAATGAGGAAACTGAGGGACAGAGAAGATGAGGAACTTGTTAAGGATACATCCCTAGTAATTGCAGGAATAGGATTTGAATGCAGGCAGTCTAGTTTGATCTATTGAGCTCTAAAATGCTGTTTCATTATTTCTATATCATTCATCTGATAACTTTTTATTGCAATTGGGTTAAGTCTGTCTCCTTGCTAGAGGGTAGTCAGGGTCCAGTCTGCCTTTTAAATGTACTATTATATTCTATTTCCTTTTTTTCCTCTCCTCATATAGACAGTCTCCATGATAGCCTGCAATGTACTATAGTGGGGAATTACCAATACGGAGTCAGGTAGAAATATAAGGGTATTTAATAGGGAAAAGCCTTACTTACAGAGCAACCTAGCCAGCTGGTGTGGTAGTGGTCTGTACAGCAAGAAGCAAAGAGAAACCGAAAGCGCAAACCCAGTCCCACTACGTCACTCTGACCACGCCCTCACAAGCATGGTCAGGCACATCTGTAGCCAGCCCCTAAGAAGGCGTGGCTACAGCTTCCCCTACCATGTACTGCTCTGCTCACTACTGTTTTAGGTATTATATTTGTTGGTTTACTGGGAATGCACCTTGCCAGATCTTTGCCTGGCTGCCTTTATCTGGTTATTTGACTCTTACTACAATTTTTCTCACTTTCAAGAGTTCTCTATTAACTTCTCTGCCTCCTGGTATTATATCTAAGCACTTGTAGGCTCCTTGGATGCATCTCATTTCTTATCTGTATTATTCTCTTCATGGAAAGTCAGGTTCTTTAGGGTGTTTAGAGTTATGTTTCTCTACTACCAATGCTTTCCATTGCAGGCACTGGAGAAAGCTCAGGTCTGAAATAGGGATGACACCAATCTCATAGGATTAGTATGAAAGGTAAGTAACAGTGCATTCTGGAAGTGCACTGCTTGCAATTGTAAGCATGAAGTTCTTATTAGGAATGGAATATAATTGCCTAAGCTGCAAACTGCAGTGGAGCCAGGGCCATGACTCATGTTGTGGCCTCTTCTATCCCTAAGGCAAAACAGTTTAGTCAGAAAGGAGGGCAAATAACTGACACATGGGATTCATATCATTTATCAAAGATGTATATCAAATCAGGAAGATGACATTAAATCCCTGGAAAGACACAGAAATCTATCTCCAGAGCTTAAGCATAATCACACCTCCATTGCTCAGGGCATGTATGTGTCAGAAGTGTGCTTTCTAACTGGAGTATATGGTTTGTCTGGACAGCACTATTACAGCTAATTAGTTTTCAGAGTCCCTGCTGCATAGTCAGCGGGAATATTTTCACAGTTTTACTTTATGAGCTACTGGGACCAAAACCATCTCCCCAGGCTTCAGAGCTTCAGTGTGGGGCAATTAGCAGCTGTATGGAGGGGTACTGTATGCAGAGATTGCACCGACAAATCAGTTACACAAAAATATTGTTTTTGGTGAGTTTTCATTTCTTCTTCTTTTTTGAGCACCCACAAATAAGCTGTAAACTCACAAGCACTATGTCACCTAGAGCTGTGAGGTCCCAGCTTTGGATCAAATGCAACCCTACTGTGCATTTCTGTACTACTCAGCCTTCACATATCCTTCTGTCATTTCCCCTAGAGCATTCCTCTGGCTTTGATTTTAGATTCTTAGATTTAAAATCATTCACCCAAGAGATAGGGACACAGAGGTGCTAAAAGATCCAGGGATGAAGTGTCTGGTCTCCCAAAGGGGTTGATAAATGATGGTTAATATAGATCCAATGGCAAAGAGCATTTTCAGAGGGTTCTCCTCCTCTTCCCACAGCACCACTCTAGACACACACTCTGCATACTCTTCTGCTGCCGCGATGAAACACCATGAGCAAGGCAACTTACGGAAGAAAGGGTTTCTTTGAGCTTTACAGTTCCTTCACCATCATGGCTGCAGACAAGTATAACACTGGAGCAGCAAGTGGGAGTGCACATTCTGATCCCCAGACAGGAAGCAAAAAGCATTCTGAAGATGGCATGAGTCCTTGTAACCTCAAAGCCTGCTCCCTGTAACATAGTTCCTCCAACAAGACCATGCCTCTTAATCTTCTCCCAAGCAGTTCTATCCATGTGGGCCATTATCATTCAAATCATCACATGCTAGTCTAAATCAGTGACTTTGTGGACAGGAGCCTGGAGATAGTGATGATGGTCGGTGACACATCCTTTGCTTAACTCTGGCCATCATGACTTTCTGCAGCCCTGGATTCCCAGATGTTTGTAGATGAGTGGTTTCTTTCTTTTGTAGTTGTGACTTTAGATAACACACTGTGTTTCCAGTAGAGCTGAATCACGAAGAAACCAGATCCTAGTCACCAATGCTCTTAGCTCCATTGCTCAACTTTTCTCTGCAGAAAATGAAAACATGGTGAATTAAACATTACAGTATCCAATTAATGTGTTATGCCATCTTTGTGCACCCCTTGTGATCACATGTTCAAACCTGACTCCCAGGTCCTAGAGACATGGCTGTCTACAGAGACACAAAATCGAAGCACCATATGGGAAAACTTAATGTGACAAAAAGCAAGTTGCAGTTTCTTTCATAAAACATGCCTCCTAACTTGAACCAGATACTTACGGGATTTAAGTTCATACATCCACATACTTGCAGATCTGACCTTCCACATTGGCACCAAGTTCTTGTGCCAACATGAGGTTGATCACAGTAGGAATGTGTCCCTCAGGCGAGTAAGTCAGATTTACAGAAGAAGGTAATATTATAGAAGAAAAGTGTGTGTGCATGCAAATGCTCTGTGGAAGCTAGCCAGGAGGGATGGCGCTACTTGCTCAGTTCTAGCTTGATTTCTCTACATCTTATAATCAAAATATATTATGTCTTCCACAAATAGGTTCTTATTTTCTAATTCAGCTGGGCAACCAGCTGAATTATTTTAGGGGACTTTGGGGTTTCCTGGCCAACAACTCATATGAAGGTGCCCCATGGCCATCACAGGGACTTTTGTTCAGTAACTAACCTATAGCTTCTGGGAGCTGCATTAGCTACTCATTCAAGATAGCTCTATTCAAATTCTGTTTTGTTTTCTTTTAAATTATATTTTTAAAGTACCTTACAAAGTAGTAAGGCTTTCCATAAGGCTTTTTCATAACCCTTCATTTTGGTTATATCTCTCCCCAACCCCTTTTTTTGTTTTTGTTTTTTGAAGAGGGGGGAATGTAGCCAGGTTGGCCTCAACTTATTATGTAGCTGAAGGTGACCTTGAATTCCTGAACTTTCTGCCTTCATCTCTTAGGTACTGGGACTGCAGGTGGGGGTCATCATTCTCATTTTCCACAGTTCTAATAATGGGATCTGTCCTTTGCTACTGTGACAAAGGCAGACTTTGGGGATTCATTCATTCAGGCTCCACAGATGTCCTCTCACTCACAGCTTAGATTCCTTTCCTGCCTTTTTCTGAGAGGGGTGTTTCTCTTCACTCCCTGTGATGAAGTTTTCTTTTCTTTTCTTTTTAAATATTTATTCACATGTTAATCCCTTCTCCCTCTTCCTCCCCTCCTCCCAGCCCTCCCCCAAATCCTCCACCTGTCTCCCATCCCCTCCCCC